GTTACACCCAAACACACTCTTATGCTCCATCTGTCTACACACATGACACATACATATAATAATTATTCACCTTCTTCACGCTTCTGATTTAAAAAAAAAAAAACACACACACACACACACAGAGGGAACTGAACAAATCTCTCCTCTTTTCTCCTCTCCCTCCCTCTGTCTATATATATATATCACTCATGTGCATCTGTAACTTTTCAATTATAGATTTTTTCGGACAAGGGAAAATTTTTCAGAAAAAGGCTTGCCGGAGAAGAAACAATTAATGGCTTCATCTTCAAATCCTATGATAGTCGCTTCCAAGAACAATCAACAACAGTGCTTCAGATTTCAAATCCATGATAGTTGTTGACCGCTTCCCTAAAGAGAAAAAATAAATACTATTTCAAATCCTCTGATTCAATCCTCATTTGTTTGGCCTCCTCTGTTTTCTTATCAAATTGAACCATCCATAAGTGTTTCACTACAGATTCCACTAATTTACACATCAAAGTGGGTATAAGAAAAAAACACAATGAAGCAAGAAATTAACATATACCATGATGGGTACATATAATATGTTGTTGTTTGGACCGTGCTATTGTTTGGACTTGCTTAGATGTACTGATCAAAATGGGTTTCTAGAGAGAGAGATGACTTTTAGAGAGAGAAACGGAAAGGGGTACTTTCCAATCGATGGTGTGGATGAAACCAATGAAATTGTCGTAAGCTGGTCGCAGTCCGAAGCGAAGTTTTGTTGAGAATCTCTCAACGAAACAAGTTGTGACTCTCTTATCTTCTTTCTTTCTCTCTCTAAAATTATAAATCAAAGATTCATCTCTCTCTAACAATCTAAATCAATATTCAATCTCCCAATAACTGTTGTAACTCGCCGGAATCCTTTGGAATCGCCGTCCCTTCAGAAAGAGTATTATAGTAATATACTTCTCTAACCATCAACGGAGGTTAGAGTATTATAGTATTGTTTGACAAGGAATGGTTTCATTTTTTTTTATTTTTTTTTTACAGTACTCCTTTTCCCTCATTTTCCGGTGAAGTACAACTTAAGTGTAATTGTTTTTCTCCACGGAGAATGGTTGCCGTCGAACATAGCTGTCAAAGACAAAGAATGGTTCTGTTTGACACAATTGGGCTTTACAAGGCTCTATCTTTTGCTCCGCCGACGAAGCCACCCTTTGTGACACTTGTGACCACCGTATGACACAACTGCCGCCGTGGAAGGCAGTCGGAAAAGACAGAGACGTAAAAGCTCTAAGACTTTCGAGATTACCTTGAAGTTCTGCTAAGGCTTCTTCAACAGATCTGTCGTTTCTCTCTCTCTCTATGTTTCAAGAAAAAACAGAGCAACCCAATATACCCACACCGCCGCCGCTTCTCATCCACAGCCACCACCATCACACCGACGCCAACGACAGCCGCCGCCGCCTCTCCCTAACAACCATAGTCGCCGCCTTTCCTCAATAACCATAGTCGCTGCCATCGCCAAGCGTTCCCCCAAGCCCATCCTCCACACACCGCCGTCAGCACCCATCATCGTCGTAGCCAATTGCACAACCTAATCGCCCGGCGTCGTCAATCGCCAATCGACGTCCCAAGCGCACAACCCAATCGCCGTTCACACAACCCGTTTTCGACGGCGATGGGAGAAGCAACGGATAGCCACTTGTAAAGCCGAATCATCCTCTTCTCTTGAAGGAGGCAGCTTTGTTTTTCTTCTGTGAGTCAATTTCTCTCTCTTTCGTTGTTCCAAATCGCAGCTTTGATCGACGATGGGGCATCAGCTCTCTCTCTTTCCCTCTCTCTTTGTGCAAAAAAATGGTGGCCCAAACTAAAGAGAGGTTAATTAATTGAGGGTAATGTTGTCTTTTAGCTTTTCTGGCACCCTATTGTTAGTTTAAGGGGGTTAAATGTAACAATTTGTTAGTTTGAGAGGGTTTTATGTAATTCAAGGGGGTTAGTTGCAAAACTCCAATACTTCAAGGGGTTTTTTTGCACTTTTCCCTATATATATATATATATATATATATATATATATATATATTACGGATTAGCCACGGATCAAATTCATGGATCGGATTGGATTTTTGACAGCCTAATCCTGTGAACTACGGATTCAATTTTTTTGAATCCACCACTGATCCGTGAGTTTGGCAATCCGATCCGATCCGTACGGATGGGATTAGATCAGATCGAATTCAGGATTTTTTGCCCACCCCTAGATGCAATCTTAAGTATCTATACTTTAGAGAGATACAATGTGATATATATATACACACACAGAGTAGTGTTCAATTACTCCTTGAGAGCAACAAATTATATACTCACTTTTAATTGAAACCTTAGGATCTAATCCTACGGCAATTAGTTAATTTACTTTTATTATCTTTATTTTAAGAAACTTACATTTTCTTTTCATACCATTAAATATTGTAAAATAAAAATGACAGAATTAGACAATTTATTAAAGAAAACAAGAATAAAATAATTTGGCTACTTTTTGCCAAATTCGCAAGCAGCCATTAAGACGAAGTAAAATTAATCTAAAATTAAAAGTCATCATTTTTTACTTTATCAATTCTATTGATAAATTATGAAAAAAACTTAGGATTTGCAATGATATTATACATATTTTGGCATGCTTTTACTTATCAACACTTTGAACATTTAATTTACCAAAAAATATAAAAAATAAAAAAACACTGAAAACATTTAGATAGATATATAATAATATATTAAGAGTTGTTTTGCATGATTTTTTTAAAAAATTTATGAACCCAATAGTAGTCTCCTAATTCTAAATTAGTTGCTGAACAAATTCAAAATATTTTACTAAGCTGAGTATAAAATATGGATCAATCTTAAAATTTGAGTATTAATTATAATCAATACTTCTCAAACAATCTTTATTTAATGGCCATTTTATTTATCTTTTTTGATTAACTTTTTTTGGTTTATGTTGCTGTTTGCAAATTTGTTGAATAAACAATTGGCAGTGATGGGGAAGTGTTATTTTACTGAATTATTTTACTTCTGTTTCCTTTAATAAATTGTCTAATTCTGTCATTTTTCTTTAACGATGTTTAATGGTACAGAAAGAATATGAAAAGAAAATGTAAGATTCTTAAAATGAAGAAAATAAAAGTCAATTAAGTAATTGTCGTAGGATTAGATGCTAAGGCTACAATTAAAAGTGAGTATATAATTTCTTACTCCCAGGGAACAATTGATCACTACTGTATATACGGTAGTGATCAATTGTTCCCTATATATATATATATATATATATTTCCCTATATATATATAAATACATGGTGATTGAAATTTTAATCTCTAACAAAAATACTATATTAAAATGAAATCTAAAAAATAGACTACAATTTTCCAAATAGTTAATTACCTTATATTTTAAAATGGGTCCCATTATATTTGACACATAGTTAGCCACTTAGACTCAATAAAGTAGTAGATTTTTATTTGTCGGTGTAAATAAGAGTACTCTTTACAAAGTTCTGACTTTATGGTAGGCGTCTTTCCTTTCTTACCACTTTTGGAAGCTAATCCAGCACTTGAGGAGGGGTAAAGCGTCATTATTTTAATCATTGAATTCTATTTATAAACATACTTTATGTTTCACTCATTAGATTCTATAGAAGCAGACCAAGTTCAAGGATGGCAATTTCTTCTAACCCGACAGGTTTTTTGCCACACCTCGCCCTTAATGGGACGGATTTGATAGTCCCTTAAATGGGTTTGAGGCGAATATGATTAAGGCTTGTTGACACCTCGCTATTTTTCTTTTCTCTTTAGTTTAGCGGAAGTTGGGATGTCATAAATCCGATCATTTTGTATCTCTTCTTTTATTTGGAAGCAGTGATGGCAAACTTCAAACTTGTTACCGGGGAGTCCCTCTTTCTTCAATCAATTAGGATGAAGCACAACTCTAGACAGGGACGGATCCAAAAAGTTAAGTTGGGTTGGGTTGGGGGGGTTGTAATTTTTTTATAATTTTAGGGGGGGAGGAAAAGTGAAAATTTTATAGGTATATAATTGAAAATAAGAAAACTTAGTGGTATATAATAGTAAAAAAAAAATTCAGTGACTGCCTTCAATATGTCTCCGTCCCTGCCTCTAGTTTATTCAATAAAATTCAGTAGAGGCTGAATATGTTGTAATTGGGAGTTGTTGTGCTCAAACTATATATATATATATATATAAAGCAACAAATTCAGGGTTTTAGACTTTGCTCTCGTTCGTGCTATAAACATTTCTTAAAATTCTATTCGACACTTTCGAACTAAGCACATTTCTTTTAAGAATACAAAACTTGTGAAATATGTTACATTGAATTAACAGTGTTGTATGGTACTACATTTTTAATTTTTTTGTATAATTTTTTTTTTTTTTTTTCAAACAAACATGAGAGCAAAAAAATTATGAGTCATTCATAAACAACCGAATACCTGCTTCAGCCAAAAGGAAAATTTCTAAGGAATATGGACCAAAATTTCATCATCCGTGAAATGATTCCGAGTGTATTTGTATATAAAATACCCGTATACAAATGTATACCAATAGAATTGGATTCTTTGATTTTGGTGTAATCGTAACTATTAACTAACTTTCCTTGACCTCCTTAAAAATGTGTACCGGATAGGGAATGTTTTTGCTATATTGTTCAACTTTTTTTCAACTTTGGGCCGTTGCAGAGCTTGAGATAGTTTGTGCACCAGCCCACCTAATTATTGGGCTACGACTTGCATACCATTTTCGATTCTAGTTGTAAAGCTGAAGAACTAGGTTTAGGGTACACCGTTCACCGTTCATTATTCAAACACTCTCATTCAGAGAACCAGAGAGAGAGAGAGAGAGAGAGAGAGAGAACCGAATCACTGCAAATCTATGAAGCTCCACACTTCACAGGCAGGTACTCATCTCTACACTCTTGGCTTTGACTGATAGCATATTATATGTGTATGTATCTTCAAGAAATGATGACTATATATATCTGCAAAAGTCTCATCTCACTCTCTCTCAAGAATTCTTCAAATCTCAACAAAACCCCAATCTCTCTTTTCTCTCTCCTGTTCTTCTCTTCCTCTCCAAAAAGCCCCAATGCGGTGGCTGATTACTTGATTGAGAGACACAAATTTTCTCCTGAAACTGCTGCGAAAGTCTCTTCCTCTACAAGAAGCCCCATTCTGAAAAGGCCTGAAAAGATCGATTTGATTCTGTCATTTCTCGAGGAAAGTGGTTTTTCGGATACCAATCTCGAGCGTGTTATCAAACACGTGCCTCAACTTCTCTCTGCAAATCTTGAGCGCAGCATCAAGCCCAAAATCAAGATTTTTCAAGACTTGGGTATTTCTTCTAGCGATGTTGTGAAAATTGTTTCGTCTCACCCACGGATTCTAACTGGTAGCGTTGAGAATCGGTTTGGGCCGTCGATTTTAGCATTGAAGAGTGTTTTGGGTTCGAATATGGATTTGTCTAGGGTTTTAAAGAGATCTGGGTCGGTTTTGACGAATGATTTAGCGAAAACTATGATACCCAATGTTGAATTTATGAAGAGTTGTGGTATTAGTTCGTCGCAAATAACCCAAAATGTCTATAATTTCCCAAGAATTTTCTTGCATAAACCGACGAGGATTAGAGAAATTGTCAAGAGGGTTGATGAGATGGGCGTTGACAGGAAGTCTAAGATGTTTGTTCATGCTATTCGGGTTATTAATTCGATGACTAAAGAGAAATGGGAGTTGAAATTGGAGGTGTTTAAGAGTTTGGGGTTTTCGGAAGATGACATTTTGTCAGATTTTAGGAGACAGCCTCAGGTGTTTGCTGTGTCCGAGAGGAAAATTAAGACGATCACACAGCTTTTGCTTAGCACGGGCAAATGTGATATCTCATTTGTTGTTAATCACCCATTCTTACTTACTCTCAGTGTTGAGAATAGGCTTAAGCCACGGCTAAGAGTTCTGGAGTTTTTGGAAAGCAGGAATTTTCCTCTTAAAAAGCTGAATTTGTCGACTATATGCAAGATGACTGATAAGAAATTCTTTGAAAAATATGTACTCCCTTATTCAGATGAAGTTGCAGAATTATTTTTTCTTTCCGGACGGTAAGCTGGTGAATTATTCAAGGTTAACAACTGCTCATTGAAAGCAGAATTATGTGCTTAAAATCATGACCGCTCATTGAAAGCAGAATTATGTGCTTAAAATCATGACATCCTATTGTGTCACTTTCAGATTTAATACCTAGAGGGAGGCCGAGACACGATCTACACATCTTTTTTCTTGCATCCATATGGTGTACTACTCTGAAAAACATGGATTAATTTTCCAGCTGGCTGTCTCATTTCAAATGAGTTTGATTGAACATTTCTTTTTGTTTCATATTTTCAATTGAGTCATGATGTTGAATATCATTTTCTTACAGTTCGCATGCATGTCAATATCTCGGAATGGAGGTGTCTGCATCTTGCAGGTTCTTCTTGCAATAGTGAATTTTGACTTCGATTCACAGAGTATTTCTTAGTTGCCCTTTAGCATATGTGACGCGGCTTCTTTTTTTTTTTGTTTCCTATCCTACAAATTTCTCTTCTTCGGGAACTATTGCAAAACCTCTTGCGACAAGGCCACAAGGCCTTGGTTCTTAACCGGGCGGGTTTGCGAGTTTGAGGTATAATTTGAGCTCAACTCACCATATGAAATGCTAAACCAAAGTCTAACCCTAGCTCTAGCCCTATTCTCAACCTTAACTACTCAACCCAAGCTTAATCGTTTCTTTTATTTTTAAATTCGGGCTTGTAACTCGGGTTTAGATTTCTGATAAAAATTTCGGGTTAATTCGGGTTATTCGTATGGTTAATCCTTGCACCGAAAATTTAATATGATCTTGAATTAGTTTTAGATTAAATTACTCCTAAATAAGAAAAAGTTTAAAAATTTATTTATTTATTTATTTGTAGATTTTTAATAAATTACAAAAAAAAATTTAAAAATTAATTATCTTAAATGTTAAAATATAATAAGTTAAGATTTAACAAAAGAAATTAAAAAAAAAAAAAAAAAAGTAATCATAGTTTAAATATTATATATAAGAAAATAATTTATAATTCGGGTTCGGGTTAACTCGGATTGATAACACTTCAACCAAAGTTCAATTCTAATTGTAAAAATAATTGCCCAAGCCGATGAAAAATCGAGGTGGGCTCGGATTGGGTTCAGGGTACCCAACCCTTAGGTATATCATAAGAGATCAATTTATAGAAAATTGTTAACCAAATAAAATTTAATTTAATTTTTTTTTTTTTCTTTTTTAAGAGCAAAGTGAAAAGAGTTATTTTAGCTCAAACCGTAAGCCTTGCACTACCTTGATTAGTTTGAATTTGACAGAAGCCAAAAAATAAATAAATAAAACATTACCAAATAAGGGGAGATTAAAGTAGGTACATGTGATCCAATTCATAAGCTTATACTAATATATAGAGTAAGCAAAGGATATGCTTGTGGTACAAGATGACCCTGAGCTCGCCGGGATGGTGCAAGGGACGTTGGTCCTCCTTTCGTAATGTCCGATGCTGCTGGAGAACTGGCTGTTGATGGCACTTGTGCAGGTGGATTTTGAGTCGGGAGGTGGAGATTTTGGCCCTCCGGTGGTGGAGCACTTGGTGGACGATTTTGAGAATCCGGTGGAGGAGCAATATTTGGCGGAGGATTAACTGCAGGAAGAAGATATAACTAAGAATAATTAGTTTTATGTGAGAAGGCACTTATCCTTTTGATTGTTGCAATAGAAGATTTGATATATGTGTTCAATATTCATTCTTGCAATAAAATTGTTGTCATGCAATTTTTGGGTTTGGAAAAAATATATATTATAAAACTCTCATTAACTCTTAAGAAATCAAAGTTGGATTTGTTTATTCTAAGATAAAATTTTTTAAAGAGTAAAACTCTAAGGGTAAAATAATTCAGTCCATTAAAAGTATAAAATTTGTATAACTAAATCTTATCACTAATTTTTTAAAATGCCAAAGTTGAATGAATTAATTAGTAACACAAGAATTTATATTTTGTGAATGTTAAAGAATCATTATCACATTGGAGAGTTTGTGACTGGAGTTTTATAACCTTCTGCTAGTAAAGTTGTTCAGATTTGGGGTTTCTTTAGTACATGTAGGTGATTGAAACGAATAAAAAATGCGCTTAATTAAACTGACTCTCCAAATTCATTGTTTGCAACTCCTAATCTATTTTATTTGTTTCGTGTCTTACTTCAATTGTTTGATTCAATGACACATTCACCCCTTGTAAACCTTTGGCGATGAAGAGTTTTTTACCGCCACTACAGAGGTTTCTTTGGCAAAGAATTGTTCAATAGATGCGTAGGCTATAAGGTCTGTGATTAATGTATTGTGATAATGTAAGTTCACACTTATTAATAATACAATATATTGGATATCCATCAACCAAAAAAAAATAACCATAAAATCAACAAACCAGGAGTTGTTCATCAGGAGGAGAGCTAGGGGCCATGGACACTGCATAAGAAAAAGAAAAGTTGATAAAAATAATTATTTTAAAAATAAAAGGACAAGGGTAGGATTTGGCACAAAATGAGACAATAGTAAGGTTTCTCCATTATGACGTGTGTGACATTAGAAACAGGTTCTCCATTAGGAGTTAAGATTGCGTACATCTAACCCTCCCCCAAATCCCGCAATAGTAGAAGGCTTATACATTGGGCTAGCAAAAGGGTGCAACACGAGATCTTCCCCAGAGGTCAGCCATTCATGTACTACTTTTGCCTAACCGAGTACCACAAATCATTTTGTGAAAAAAAAAATAATGATAATGAAGAAATGGAAATTATACTGAATCGTTTTTACATAAATGAGAATGTATGTACAAGCTTGCATTTCTTCATACTCTTTAATATTCATGTTTGTATTTGCGTATCTATAAGATTTGGTAGTGTTGCCCAAGTGGAAAGCGCCCGGCCTTTAGTGCCCCCACCCTATAACTCCAAAGTTCAATTCTCCTCCCCCTCTCCTCCCTAAGTACTAAACATTGCAGGGAAAATAATAATGTAGCAGGTCCTCCAAGGCCAGGCCAATAACATTATTTTGCATTTATATTGGGCTCCACTTTTTTCTATTTTTTGTTTTTTTTTTTTTTTTTATAGAAACTTTGACAAGAAACCTATGCACTCGCATTTGTCCTTATGGTGGGACTTGACCTAAAGAAGGGTAAAATGCAATAAACCCCTCTCGACTTTTAGCCTTTTGTAGTACCCTTTCTCTTATGGACGAACGCCCCTAAAAATCATTTAGAGTTACATATAACTCATTCCCTTTCATCTCCTCTGGGCAAAGGCCCGAAAACCCAAATCAAATCCATCCCAATTTGCCCTTCTCATTGAATCTACCGCGATTCACTCTTTAAATCGAATCCACCCCGATTCACCATTTTCATCTAATCCACCGTGATTCACCTTCCTTAAATCAAATCCACCACGATTCACCCCTTTTTAATGGACGGAGGTCCTTGAACTTATTTTTCTATTCTGAACTATGTTCTGACTTGATTCTTACACCATGGGATACGTAGGCAACTTAAGCCAAACTTGAGCTCAGTCAAGTCCCCCATCATTTTCATCATTACTCCATCGGGACCATCATCCACCATATCACCATCTCTCTCCATATCACCTCCATCTTCATTACCATACAATATAAAATTTTCAAACATGTACCTTATCATCAATCATTGCACAATCATATAATGAAAATGAAATTTAAGACAGAGAATAGGTAACCCTAATTGGTATGAGTGTCTAGGGGTGCCAACACCTTCCCCAAGCGTAACTAAACCCCCAAATCCCACCTTTGGTGAAGCAGACCAACTGGTAGTCATTTAAGGCCCCCAAATCAATCCAAAATTTTCATCTTTGGTGATCTAACACACAAAAACTCAATGTTAGCTAACAACTCCATAAAATCTTTGAATTTGACAATATTAATCATTCACCGCCACATCGTCGTGCTGACCTCCAACCTAGGGATAAGCTTGAGTGGGTTCACTTGAGGAAGAATCATAGCACGACACAACAGAGATAAAATAATAATAATAATAATAAACTTGATTGATTCTAAAACTTCATCTCTCCTTTTTTTGTTTATTTATTTTTTCAAGCTTTTTTCCCTAATTAAGGCTCTGTTTGTTTGGACGTAAAATATTTTTCAGAAATTTTTTTTTTTTTTAATTTTCTGGTATTTGGTTGTCGTAAAATATTTACGAAGAAAAAAAATATTAAAATTTAACAAAAACAATTTATCCATTAATTTTCGGCAAGTTATTTTACATGTCCCACCCAATGAATTCGACCCCAACCTTAATGTACACATTTGCCAAATACCGATAAAGTAAAAATAAAAGAATATTTTACCTGAAAAAAAAAAAAAAAATTCAAAAAGAATATTTTATGTCAAAACAAACGGAATAGTGTCAAATGACCCAAAGGTTATTATTTTCAAAAATGGTTTCGGTGTGAGATTTATCAAAAGCGTCCAAAGATTAAATGCAACTAGGTTTCACTTTGGAAATTTCAGCAATTTCTGCAAATATGAAATTTCGAATTTAACCCCCGGCTGGGAAAATATTTTTCAATTTTGGGCTGTTGTAATTTTAGACAGGTTGTGCACCAGCCCACCTAATTGTTGGGCTTGGACTGTCACTCAATCTGAACACTTTCATACCATTGTCGATTTGGGTTTTTAATGCTTAAACCTCTCCTTGTAATTTGAAATGCTGAAAAAACTAGCATACAGAGCTTGAACTAGGTTTAGGGCACACTGTCCATCTTTCAGAGAAAATGATAGAGAGAGAGAATCGAATCACTGCAAATCTATGAAGCTCCCCACTTTACAGGCAAGTACTCATCTCTACACTCTTCGCTTTGATTGATAGCATATTATATGTGTGTGCATCTTCAAGAAATGAGGACTATTTATATCTGCAAAAGTCTCATCTCTCTTTCTCTCAAGAATTCTTCACATCTCAACAAAACCCCAGTTTCTCTTTTCTCTCTCCTCTTCTTCTCTTCCTCTCCAGAAACCCCCATTGCGGTGGCCGATTACTTGATTGATAGACACAAATTTTCTCCTGAAACTGCTTCGAAAGTCTTTTCAAGAAGCCCCAATCTGAAAAGGCCTGAAAAGATCGGTTCAATTCCGTCTTTTCTCGAGGAAATTGGTTTTTCGGATACCAATCTCGAGCGTGTCATCAAACACGCGCCTCAACTTCTCTCTGCAAATCTTGAGCTTTCCATCAAACCCAAATTCAAGTTTTTTCAAGACTTGGGTATTTCTTCTAGCGATATTGTGCAAATGGTTTCGAATGACCCAAGGATTCTAACTCGTAGCGTTGATAATCGGCTTGGCCCGTCGATTTTAGCATTGAAGAGTGTTTTGTGTTCGAATATGGATGATATGTCTAGGGTTTTAAAGAGATCTGGGTGGTTTTTGAGGTCTGATTTAGCGAAAACTGTGATACCCAATATTGAATTTTTGAAGAGCTGTGGTATTAGTTCGTCCCAGATAACCCAATGTATCTATAATTTCCCAAGATTTTTCTTCAATAAACCGACGAGTATTAGAGAATATGTCAAGAGGGTTGATGAGATGGGTTTTGACAGGAAGTCTAGGATGTTTCTTACAGCGATTCGGGTGATTAGTTCGATGAAAATTGAGAATTGGGAGTTGAAATTGGAGGTCTTTAAGGGTTTGGGATTTAAGGAAGATGACATTTTGTCAGTTTTTAGGAGACAGCCTCAGGCTTTCGGTGTGTCAGAGAGGAAAATTAAGGAGGTAACACAGCTTTTGCTTAGCGCAGGCAAATGTGATATCTCATATGTTATTAATAACCCAGGCTTACTTGGTTACAGTGTTGAGAATAGGCTTAAGCCACGGCTAAAAGTTCTGGAAGTTTTGGAAAGCAGGAATTTGCTTCTTAAAAAGCCGAGTTTGGCACCTGCATGCAAGATGACTGATAAGAAGTTCTTGGAGAAATATGTAATCCCTTATTCAGATGAAATTGGTGACTTATTCGTGGTTAACAAGGCCTCATTGACCGCAGAAATATGTGCTTAAAATCATGATATCCTCCTGTGTCACTTTCGATTTAATACCTAAAGAAGTCCATGGTTCAAGGGGGAGCAATACTGTGTGTGTGTGTGTATTTTACCTACCAAAAAGAAGAGTTGTGGTGGTGAGGCATTGCATATCAAATCTAGTTGCTATTCTGAATTTTGTTTTGTCTCATCTTTCTTAGCATGGTTATGGAAAGAAAGGTAGAGGGAAAAAAATAAAAATTTTCTTGTTTGGTTTCTTCTACTTGTCATCCAAATATTTAGTCAACAGAAGAGTGTAGGTGGATTTATCCCAGGGCATTTAATAACTTGTGGGGAGTCTATAATTCCGTTTCGATGAGCTCTTGGATATAAATTTGTATGCTTTGAATTTGATGCAAAGATGGTAGTCGATGCGTTGATTGAGGGTGCAGCTTGTCCAATTGAAATCGCCTCTGTAGTTTTTGATGTCAAAGTGAATAAGGTGGCTCACGCCCTTGCAGCTTTATCCGGTGATCATGTGGAAGCAGACTGTGTATTGGATAATATATATTCCTCCTCAGATTGTCAATTTAGCTGCGTGGGATGTTTTGGCTGCCAGTTCTTAGATTCATGATCCGTGGTTCTGCTGCTTGTTCTTCTTCTTTCTCTTTTTTTGTTGTCTTTGTTGTCACCTTTAGAACCCACTAGGCTTTTTTAGTGACAAAAGTGTTTTCTTGTTAGCATTTTGACATAACACTAGTTACACTTCAATAGCTATGTCAAAATGCTATTGAAGTGCTTCCGAATTCTTATTAAAGTCTCCGTTGGAGTTGAATCAGTTTTTACTGAAAAGGACCGAAAACTGTCAAAATGGGCCAAGTTTTGACACTAATTGAAGACACTAATTTGGTATGCTTTCTAACATTCTCTGAGAGGACTCTTAACAAGATTCATTTTCGGATTATTTATTCTTCAAAAATCCCGAGTTTTCGTGTGTCATTTTTGTTTTTTTTATTCTGAAGACTTTACATTTTTTGGTGTCACCTTAAGGAGATTTTTTTAGTCAAGTATAGGTTTTTAAATATTGGATGTGAAAGTTTACGTTCCTCAATAACATAAATTATTGAATAGTATATCTCATTCATTATGAGCCACTCTCAGCACATAAACCTAACCTTATAAATAAACACATATAAATTTAATTGGCATTTATACTGTTCTTGGTAGACGTAGTTCATCTTTTAGTTGACATATTTGATTAACTTCTTTGTGAATAATTTTTATTTTTAGAGAACTAAAAAGAAAAAGAAATTAAAAAAAAAAAATTTGTTTGGACAATAATTTTGTAAAAATTGAGGTACAAAAGGTCGATTTTTTTTTTTTTCTTTTTATAAGAAAATTTTAAAAAAAATTGTTTGGACAATAATTTGAGCTTTATGAATCATCATCAAAATTATTACATCAATCAATATCAATATATATATATTATTAAACTGAGCAACACTAGGAGGAGCGCCAGGGGCCATGAAACTATGAAAAAATGAAAATTATATTCAAAATAAACCAACATTATTATTGATCAAAGTTTGTAAACTAAGTTCATAAAACTAATAATATTAACCATAAAAATATAAATTATACACATTTATATAGAGAGAGGCTAAGGAATTGTTTGGTTCAATTTTATGAGAACAAGTTTCTATTTTCAGAAATTTGAAAATCAGTGGAAATGTTTGGTTGGAATTTTATTAAAAAATCAGTTAATTCATTAAACTTTCTCTTACTATTCTCTATGATGACAGTTTCCTGTGTTCACACGAATTCTCGTGCTCCATTTCATCGCTGCCATCACTCAAAAATGACAGACGTTCTGCCATTTTTATATGAGATTGGAGCAGTCCAGTCCACTGCCTGTGCCATTAAGAGAGAAACAGAATGAGAAAGCCAATCTAATGCTTGCTTGAGACGTTCTGCTAACTATATATATATATATATATATTTTACTGTCACCTGTTTAAATATCCCTATCAAAGATCTCCATTAAGATTTAATGGACTCATATTTGAGATGGGGAAGTTATCAGTTTATTATTATTATTCTGTCAAATTAAGGACGGGGGGAACTCGAACAAATTAGGCACTGTACCAACTCTAACATTTAATAACGTCCGAAAAGTTATCATGTAATATATAGTTATATCAACCTTTATCTCATATATTTTTTAAAAATCATACAAAAAAAAAAAAAAGTTTAATTGTCTCCTTTGGTTTTTAAAATTTTAGAAATATATTATTTCGTGCCGTCACATTATGCACTTGCATTAAATTTCTAATTCATAGACATATATATATATTTTTTTGGTTAAAAATTCATAGACATATTGAGAATGGGTTCATTCTCATTTGGGTAGACCATTCTTTAGACTTCTCACATGTCCCAATTCTTGTGTGTGGGCAAAATATAGATTTAATTTAAAGCAGAATGTCAAGCCATTCCCATGCTTGTGACCTTATTAGCAATTCTCTTTGCATCCGCCACCCTTGCACATTTAGCACTTAATAATTAATTGAGAAGAGAAATATCATGTACTTTTCAATGTCATTAGGTTAAAAGGGAGCTTCTCATATATTGAATTGAACTACAGCACACACGATCCCTTTAGTGATTTTCTGTGGCACCTACAAGGCATTAGCTGTTTGTGCCTAATTACAATGTTTAGACTCTTGATACAAATATGTCTTTTCTTCAAATTATTGAGGATCTGCTTGATTTGTCATTCAAAAAATATTTTTTAAGAATTTAAAAAATAAAAAATTATTTTTAAAGAATTATAATTTTTCTATAACTGAGTTTTCATAAGCCAGTTCTCAAAAAGGGTCGGGCGTTGACTAACCCTTGTCATCATTCTAAAAACAAATCCTAGTGTTTGAAAAATTATAAACCATGGAAGGATCAATGCCTTTCAAGTTGGTTACACTCCATCCTATTGCTTCTTTGTTTTCCCTGAGCACATCCAAAAGATCATCTTCTTAATCATTTAGTAGATTGGAAGCTATGATGATCGGAAGAGTGTCGTTTGGGCCAAGAAAGGCATACTTGAGATTGGATGGAAGTCGTTTGAGCTCCAAAGTAGGTGGTGATACAAGAGATGGTACCGGAGGAGTACTCGAAAGTGAAGGAAGTGGCTCTTTTGGAGTTTTCCTCGGAGGATAATCTGTTGAGGCAACGGTATCCGTTTAGGCATTCATTTCACAAATTGAACTATTAATATCAAAAGTATCCATATTGAAATGAGTAAAGCATATTTCTAATGGATCTTTTGAAATGATCCAAGGAAGAGACTCTTGGACAAGATCATCAATCATATCCACTAGGAAACACTCGCCTTTATCTATGGGAAGCTAGCTCGCATTGAAGACATTCAACTTGACCATCATATGACCAAAAGATATATCCATGATACCTGACCAACAATTGATTGTGGCATTGACGGTGGCAAGAAAAAGTCCACCTAGAATGATTAGAATGTGATTGGTAGGATTAGACACTGGTTCGGTGTCAAAGACCACAAAATCAACTGGGAAATAAATTTTGTCCACCTTGATGGGGATGTCCTCAACTATTTCCCATGGTTGCTTTGTTGACTTATCGATGAGTTGAAACACAACCGATGTAGGTTTTAGATCTCTTAATCCCAATTGACAATAAACCGAGTATGGAATGAGATTAACACTTGTTCCTAAATCCAAAAGAGCCCTATGAATTTCATGGTTCATGCAAGATATGGTGGGAGCACACCAGGATCTTTGAATTTTGGATGAGTATTATGTTGGATGATTGAGCTCACTTGCTCAGTAAGAATCACTTTCCGAGGAACTTAACTTTTTGATTTTCTCTTTTGAGTACACAAATCCTTCAAGAACTTGGCATAAGGTGGAATTTGACGAATGGCATCAAAAAGAGAAAGATTGATTTTCACTTCTTTGAAAATTTCCATTATGTCATTGATTTTCTCTATTTGACGTCTCGAGAGGGAGAGTCCTTTTAGAGCTTGAGGAAATTGAGCTTTTGGCTCATAAAGTTTTTCTAAAGGGGGAGACAATGATGACAACAATGGATTTCCTTTTCTTGCATTTTCATGAGAGGAAATGGTTGGTGGAATAAAAGGAAAAGGATTATCAATATTTCTCACCGAATCATTATCTTTACTTAGTATCTCTTTCACTTTGTTATCAATGATCTTACCACTTCTCAAGGTGGTGATGGCTTGAACTTGTTAATGTGTGGAAGGTCCGAGGTAGGATTGGATTCCACCATGTAATGAGTCTTTAGGTTTGGCTCGGGTTGGCTAAGCAACTTTCCTTTTTCTCTTTCACCCATTGAATTTGCAATTTGCCTAATTTGGGATTCAAACTTTGCAATTGATTGAGAGTTAGAATGAAACAATTGTGTATTTGGCTTAAGAATATTACCCAAAGCGGCCAACACCTTGTCCTTAAAAGCGAAATTCCTTTGAGGTGCTTGAAGAGCATTTGAATAAGAATTGAAAGTGGGCACTTGGTGATATAAATTCAAAGACTGACCAACATTTTGATGATGAGAATATTGCAATGGATGATATAATTGAGATTGAGAATTTTGGAGATGAGATAGAACATACTTTCCTTGAGAAGGATTTTCATTTGTTCCTTAACTCTCCATGAGAAATTTGGATGATCTCTTCACTCGAGGTTGTAGGTGTTAGAGAAAGGATTGTTACCCGGACGAGAGAATGTGGCATTCACTTGCTCTTGAGATTCACTTTATATTAATTGTTTATGGGGACAATTTTGAGTGACATGGATTTGAGCAAATCATGCAAGTTTCACTTTGAATTCAGGGAGGAGAGGGTGATTGATTTGCTGAAGTTTGACTCAACAAGAATTTGTCAAACCTTTGAGTAAGATTTTTAACTTTCGCGGCTACCTTAATAGACTTATCAATGTGATAGAAATTTTCAGATTTCTTTCCCCCTAACATTGATACACGACCCGAACGAGTGGATGAAGCACGACACATGTAATTTTCACTCAAATTATCAAAGAGAGTCCAAAATTCGTCTTCATGTGTAAGCAAGAAAGTACCTCCACATGAAGCGTCGACCATTTGTCTATGAGTGTTCGACAAACTTTCATAGAAATATTGAACAAGTTGACATTTTGGAAAGTCATGATGAAGGCACTTCCTTAACAAATCGTTCAATCTCTCCCAAGCCTCATGAAATGGCTATGTTTCATTTTGAGAGAATCTCATTATGGTCGATCTCATTTGATTGGTTTTACTCGCGGGAAAGTATTTTTTAAAAAAATTCTTGTTGCATGTGAGCCCAATAAGTGATTGTATTTGCCCCTAGATTGTTGAACCAATACTTAGCATTTTTTCGAAAAGAGAAAGGGCAATGTTTCATCCTTAAGGCTTCTTCCGGAAAATCAGTGATTTTCACGGTGGAACACACCTCTAGAAACTCATCCAAATGCTCATAAGGATCTTTATGCGGGAAACCACTAAATGATGGACACATTTGAATGATTCCGGGCTTGATTTCATAATGGTTGGCCCGGAAATTTGCTAAACGATAATATATGGGAGTATTATAGACATTTGGAGTGTAGTGATCTCGAAGAACCATGGGAGGATTAGGTAGAGGATGGGTTTCATGAGGTGGTTCGGGAAGAATTTGAGGAATGTCATTGTGCGCCATTGAATTAATCGGGTGATTGCTAATGGGAAGTGGTCTCTTATTACGATTTCTCAATTCCCTCAGAGA